TATCATTCTTGCTATTTATTTTAGTACTACTTACTGCTAATACTATTATAACTATTTCTAATGCAGTTTTTTATAACATTTTTTTTCTTTGAAAAAAAGATGAACTTTGATTAAAAATTTCGTAGAACAAATTGCATTATTTGTTTAAAATTTTAACACGAAAGCATACTTTAATATATCAATTTAAATCTGTAGTATATATATTTATAAATAAAACAAAATAATTCTCGTAAATAAATAATTTGAAAACGTATTTTTTGTCGATTTGCAACCGAACAAAATAGGGACGCCATTTTCTGTGTCAAAAGAAAAGTCAAAATAAAATGGCAAATCATGGAAAGAAATTATATTATTTGATTTTTTTTTATAATATTCATTTAAAAGCATATAAAATAAATTCTAAATTATTTAAAGATGATCTTCAGATAATATTCGAAATTATTGCAACATTATTTTGCCTATATATTATTAAACAAAATTGATTGCAATCTCGATTTTTGGCAAAAAATTGCAAAAAGTTCTAAAAATGTAGATATAATATTTTGAGTGTATATAATATTAATAATAAATGAATAAAATTTAAATATTTATAAAACTTGTCCGACGGCAAAATATGCTACACTATCCCTTGTAATATTTTTTTTGAAATTCATTCTTAAAAATATAATTTAATTTATTTATATCATTATTTTCAAATTATTTTTATAAATTTTGCATAAAATAAATATTATTTATATTGGCTAATAAAAATAACAAAATTGTAACAAAATTTGGAATCTTTTGTATAAAAATTAAATTAGCAAACGGTTTTGGATTTCTTTGAAAAAATATTATATAATTTACCCAAAAAATTCAACAAATAATTACGAAATTTCAACCGAATTGCAACCGACTTTTTATTAATCCCAAGTTAGCCTAAATTTGTATATTTAATATAGTATATTTCAACTATGAAAATATGATAATACGTTTTTATTTATAGCAAAGTAGAGTGCATTTCAACCGCTTTGCAACCATTATGTATATTTTATAAGCATTTGTGTCAAAGTTTTTTGTAACCGGTGTTCTAATTCAAATTATAAATTTATATCGAAGTCTATATCAACTGTCTATATATTATTGAACAAATTCGTTTTGAATAAAATTAATTTTTGATACTTTTTTTGAATAAAATCTGATTGTACGTTGCCAGCAAGGTTGCAAACAATTTTCCATTTTTAATTTAAAAGTATTCCCAAAAAAGTAAGATCATCTTGGTTCCCAAAATTATCAAATTTGCACAATTTTGAACATTCCCTGAACAATTTTGATATTTTGCAACCTCTAATTTTTCTCAAAATTCATTTTTGCGGTCAAATCGTGTGATTTTATATGACAGTGAACTGTGGCGGAATTAATAATGAACGTGTGTACATATTTCATTAATAATTTGCAACATTACGTCACCGGAGTGATGACGATGATATTGATTCATAAAATCGACACTTCATTTATTGTTGTTTAGACAATAATTGATGTAGACATCGATATAAATCTATAATTTGAATTAGAACACAGATTGCAAAAAACTTCGACACAAATGCTTATAAAATATACATAGTCGGGGAAACTTGTCGATTGCGAAACGGTTGAAATGCACTCTAGTTTGCTATAAATAAAAAAGTATTATTATATTTTTGTAGTATAAACATACTATAACAAATATATAAACTTATACTAACTTGGGATTAATAATTAGTCGGTTGCAATCCGGTTGAAATTTGGTAATTATTTGAGAATTTAGATAATTTTTTTTACCTTTGTTTTTAAATAAACATTAATAAAAACGTTGACACAAATGCTGTTTAACAATATAAAATATACATAGTCGGGGAAACTTATCGGTTGCAAAACGGTTGAAATGTACCTCAGTTTGGTATAAATGAAAAAGTATTATTATATTTTTGTAGTATGAACATACTATATCAAATATATAGATTTATACTTACTTGGGATTAATAAAAAGTCGGTTGCAATCCGGTTGAAATTTGGTAGTTATTTGAAAATTCAGATAAATATTCTTTTACCTTTAAGTTTCACACTTCTGTGTTTCATAATTGATATAAATTCGAACAAAATTGTGATTCTGTAGGAATAGGGAAAAATATCAAAAAACAACATTATATCATTTGCTTTTGCAAAAAAAAAAAATACAAAAACTTTTGAATGATGACAATATTGAAAAGTCAATTTGTATTTCGCTAATACATTTTTTGCTGATAAATTTTGCGTAACTAAATTGTAATGTCAGCTTTATTATTACCAAAAATCTATTATTACGGTTGCAAATCGGTTCAAACAGAGTTAAATTGCTAATAAATTAAAAACTACTATTACAGTGCTCTAGTATTAACATTATATTACAAATATACAAAAGCATACTAAACTAGAAGTTAAATAAAACCGGTTGCAATCCGGTTGAAATTCGGTAATTAACTGAAGTCATTTAAATTTTAGAACATTATTTTTTTGTGTTTCAAAATGGGTATAAATTTGAATAAAATTGTAATCCTGTACGAATAAGAAAAAATGACGAAAAACAACTTGGTTGCATTTGTTTTTGCAAAAAATATACGAAAATTTTCACAGATGACATTTTTAAAATGTTGATTTACTGAATATTTATATATTAATTATATATTTATATAATTTTTGCAAATATATAATAAATTTTGCGTAACTAACGTGTAATATCAACTTCATTTTTCCCAAAAATCTATTAATTTGGTTGCAAATCGGTTCAAACAGACTTAAATTGTCAATAAATTAAAAATCATTATTACAGTGCCCTAGTATAAACATTATATTACAAATATGCAAAATTATACTGAACTAGAAGTTACATAAAACCGGTTGCAATCCGGTTGAAAAGTGATATAATATTAAAAATATATACTATATATATATATATATATATATATATATATATATATATATATATGAATAGATGTAACGTCATCTTTATTATTACCAATCTATTAATTCGGTTGCAAATCGGTTCAAACAGAGTTAAATTTCTAATAAATTAAAAATTATTATTACAGTGCCCTAGTATAAACATTATATTACAAATATACAAAGACGTACTGAACTAGAAGTTATACAAAACCGGTTGCATTCCGGTTGAAAAGTGATGTTAAATTAAAAATATATACTTTTCATAGATGGAGCTGAACCTTGGGGATCAAAGACAATATAAAATAGTATAAACTGAATATTATACTAAAAAAGTGCAGAAGATTGAAAATATACCAAATAAAATATACTAAAATAGTATAACAACAATCGGCGGTTGCAAACAAAACTTTTAGTTGATAGAAGGTTTTGACAAGCTGGACTTTGGGATCAAAATTAAATTAATAATGAATAAACAAATATACTACATAGTATAAATAAATATATACTAAAATATAGTATACATACTAAATATATAAATACTAAAAAAAGTATAATTTTTAATAAAAAGTAGGGCAGTAACAATTTAAAAGTTTAATATTTAACACACAAGTTATGTGAAGAAATTTGCCGACGGTTTTACTAAAATATCATGAGGACCAATATACTCAAATAGTATAAAGTTAGTATACTGAAAGAGCTTAAAATTGATATACTAAAATAGTATAAAACCTATTAACAAATAGTGCAATAAATTTTCAAAATTTTAGTTGCTTCAACATTTAACAAGAGAAGTTTTGTGAATGTGTTTCAAGACATGCCGACGGCTTTACTAAAATTAGTTTAGGCTTAAATTAGTATTTTTTAATACTTTTTTTATTTAAACAAAAAATGTGTACTCTAAGTATGAACTTGTGATTTGCCGCTGAACAAAATTGTTGCAAGGTTGCAAACTATAAAGTGTTGTCCACCAATTTTTGCAAAATGTGTTTGATTTAGATACGAACTTGTGTGATAGAAAAAATTGGTTGCAAAGTTGCAACTTGAAACAAAAAAGTGTTTTGCAACCAAAGTAGTATTTTTAATACTTATTTAAACAAAAAATGTTTACTCCATGTATGAACTTGTGATTAGTCGCTGAACAAAATTGTTGCAAGGTTGCAATATCAAACTATAAAGTGCTGTTCACACAATTCTTGATAAATGTGTTTGATTTATATACAAACTCGTGTGATACAATAAATTGGTTGCAAAGTTGCAACTTCAAACAAAAAAGTGTTTTGCAACCAAAGTAGTATTTTTTAATACTTATTTAAACAAAAAATGTTTACTCCATGTATAAACTTGTGATTAGTCGCTGAACAAAATTGTTGCAAAAATGTATTTTATTTAGATACAAACTTGTGTTAGAGAAAAAATTGGTTGCAAAGTTGCAACTTCAAAGAAAAAAGTGTTTTGCAACCAAAGTAGTATTTTTTAATACTTATTTAAGTCAAAGATGTGTACTCTAAGTATGGACTTGTGATTTGTCGCTGAACAAATTTGTTTCAAGGTTGCAAAATCAAATTATAAAGTGTGCTGTTCACCAATTTTTGCAAAATGTGTTCGATTTAGATACGAACTTGTGTGATAGAAAAAATTGGTTGCAAAGTTGCAACATCAAATTATAAAGTGTGCTGCCCACCAATTTTTGCAAAATGTGTTCGACATAGATACGAACTTGTGTGATACGAAAAGTTGCAAAGTTGCAACACCAAACTATAAAGTGCAGTCCACCAATTTTTGCAAAATGTGTTTGATTTAAATACGAACTTGTGTGATACGATAAGTTGGTTGCAAAGTTGCAACACCAAACAAAAAAGTGTTTTGCAACCAAAGTTTGTGTACCAATTCCTTTCCCCGCAATGACAATAACGTAACACCAGGCTAAAAAAAAATTGCATCGGCGCCAATTTCATTTCCCCCTCAAGTTTATCAAGTGCTTCAAGATTTTTTTCCAAAATTCGTTCGACCCCGGCATCAAAGTGTTGAAATTAGAAGAGGACGCCTACGGCGGGGCTGGCATGATGTACGCCTCCCCGCCGGGCAGCGTTTCCAGTTCAGTGGCGGACACGAAGCAGTCCTCCGCGGCGGAGTCCAGTGGCGGCGGAGGAGGAGCTGGTAGCGGCGGCAACGGCGGCAGCGGCGGCGGCGGTGCCGGAGGCAATAATAAGAGCTCCTGCTACCCTCCAAGATATTCGCCCCCGACGTACAGGCCGTCGCCCGTCGACAGGAGGTGCGGGCCGACGAACGCGACGGTAGGCATTGTTAGTATTTTGTGATAAATTATAAATAGTAATTGAGAACAGAAATTGCACGCATGTTTGTTACTAAATTATAATTGGCGTTAACAATGTACGAGTGAATTTATATTTGACCAAAGGCAGGTCCAAGTAAAGTGCTTGAACATTTTTTGAACCAAAATGCCTTTGAGCTTTGTTGGAGATTTTTTATCAGCGTTGAACAGAAACGATTCTATTGTTATTTATTACTATCTGACCTGGCAAACGTTGTTTTGCTAAGTAAGGTATATTCTAAACAATTTCTAGAGAATCAAAAATATTAATACTTTTAGTGTATAAGGATGTGCTGTTTGATTGCTATATACAATGAGGTATTATAAAAACAATAAACCCTATTAGTTTGTCTATATTTTGTCTGTAAGTTTTATACACTTTCTGTATGGTATAATCCAATCCAAGTCTTTTTTATGGATTTTCAAAGATTACCGTTTATCTCCCAATAGCATGGTCATGAGAGTCAAGGTTATAGCTGGTTATACATATTTTTCCCTCTACTTTCAAATATTGTTGTTAAACAATGCTTAACTTTACTGGTTTTTGACACATCGATAGTGGACCTTTTAAACCCCGGACCTTCATATGTTACTATCTATTCTTCGATAAATTCTGGGAAATTATAACTGGGAAAATGTTATTCGACAAAATGACCCTTTGATCGATACCAAATTTAGGTTTTGAATTTAAATAACATAAATGAAAAATAATATAACCTAGAAAATGTTATATAAATACGTTATATATAATATGTTATATATAAATATGTTATATTTATATGTTTATATTTATATAAAAAATATGTTATATATAAATGTTTGAGAAAAATACGATTTGCAAAAGCAGAGTGCTACAACGCCAAAAAGTGCATTTTCATATTAACATTTCAAAAAATTGGATATTTTAAGTTTCTAGTAACACTTACGATCCGTTTAATAACGCTTTTTGTATAAATATAACTACAAACAAAACTACTTACCACAATTTAATCATAATTAAATAATATTCACGTAAAACATCCTATTAAACGTAATTGAACATCATCTGTCAAAAACTTTAGACATTTGACGTATTAGCCACCGTTCATTGTTTTATTCAAATTACGCTTCTACAGAAATGTTCAAATTATAATTGTTAAGTTTCTACGCGATTTTGAAATAATATCTAACCTTTCCGACAACCTACTGATTAGCACGAATTTTTCAAGACTAAGACTGGCCAAATCGGTTTAGTCGTTTTCGAGTTTTAGCGGATCATTTTATCGAGAGCTCCATTTTTGGCCAAATACAGGTCCAAAAAACCTTTCCAAATATTTATTTGGGACTTGCTGTCTTTAATCTCTATTGCAAATTCTAAGAGATTCTTTGTCTTAAACAAATCAGTGATCTGAATTATGATGTTTTTGCTAATAAATAGTACATGCTTTTGTGAATTCATGTATTTTTTCATTACTTGTCGAAAAGCTTAATAAGATTTCTCAATCATTTTACTCTATATTCTCGTACCGTGTATTAGTTATAAGTTCTTGGAGATTTCTGAACCGTATTTGTGCATTTATTTATATTTTGGCGAAAGGCAGGTCTAGGAACCCTCCCCAAACATTTTGTTGTGATTTGCTCTCTTCTGTATAAGTTGTCTATTTATTGAGATTATTGGTCTCCTTTGAAATAGATGTCTAATGTTTTTTCAATAAAAACTAGTAAGTGTTGTCATAAATTCATACATTTTTAATTACTTGATTGAAGCCAAGTCTGGGAACTTAGCAAACATTCATTTTGGACTTGCTGTCTTTTGTATCAGTTACCAATTCTTGGAAATTTCTTCAAAAAATAATCAATTACATTACATTACATATTAAATTATCTTAAACATTTTCTTTATGATTAATCACTCAAAATGAGTACCCCCCAGTTCAGCACAAATGATTTAATTCGTAATTTGTCGGCGGCCAAAAACGACTTAATAAATGTCTTCATATTATTATTTGAGTCTGAATTCTCTCCTTTTTATGAGTAATGACTCTTGCACTGAGTTACGACTCGAAAATAAACTGCTCGATATTCCTAATTAAACCGAGATGAAAATTAATGACTTCATAGTGTGAGAGCTGGGAGGAAAAAGATAAAAGATAAAGTCTTCATAAAATATATGTATATATTTGGGTACAAAGTATTATTTAACACACTTCTTATATTATAGGTTTAATATTGAATTGAAAGATGTCAAATAAATGATAAAACTAGTGGTGTATGACATCGTGCCTTAAGGCAAATTGCTGGAACTTCCCGTACCGTAATGAAATATTCGAGAAATTTTAAACGTTTTCAAATATATTATTACAAATACTGTAACTTTCATTATTTTTGCTATCTTATTGTTATATCTGAGCAAATCAAATATAAATTATAAATAAATCAATTTATCTCCGGAACATTAACAATCGTCATTTCATTTCGAATTCAATTTAAAAAAAAATAGTTGCTTCATTTACACAAAATTGAAAAAGTGCTCCCGCTTAGTCACAGTCTAAACGCATTTGCAAATAATTCTGTGCGACATTTTCACTTACACTGTGCTTAGCTTGGCGGCATTTTCGCATTTTTCAATAGTTTTCACAAAATTGGAAAAGTGCTCCAGTCTAAACGCACTTGGGTAAACATTTGTACCAGAGTGGCGCTTAGATCGTGCTTAGCCTGGGTCATTTTTTAAATGTTTAATCCAAAATTACAAAAATATTTTTAGAAAAAAATATTAGAAACAAAAATGTTTTTTCGAAAGCAATTACTTTGTTGAAACAAGCAGAAAGTTCTTTGAAGCATTTAATTCGGATGCTTAGTTCTCTCAAAAACTGCCATTTTTTAACATTTAGCTCTGTATCTCCGAAACTGCTGGGCCTACCTTTGCCAAAAACTAATAACTACTTGTGTTAAATATTTTGTTCAAACTCATCGATTCGTTTAAAAGATATAAATCATGTTACACAAAAATGTACTTAAGGCGAAAATCCAACGCACCGAAAATCTTTATTTTCAATTATCATTTATGAGTATACGGAGTAGCTGCAGAGTATTTTGATATTAGACAATATTAAAGATTATTTAATTTTGTATAAGTTTACTAAATACACGGATTACTTCCAATTAATAAATTAGATGATAAAAATTATTTTCTAAAAGAGTATTAAAAATTCATTTAATTCATTCAATATTTTCAATATATTCCATCAACAGTACAAGATATATAACGACTAAATAATTTGCCTATTCTAATTCCATAATATATATTTCAAATATTTTTAATGTTATTATTTTTATTTGAGTAATGATGCTTACTAATTTTAGTCTATTTGCTACATCGCTTTATAAATTAGAGAGGGTTTTGCAATTTGAGAATTAAAAGGGATGTTTTAATCATAAGGGTTGTTGTGAAGGAATTGAATATAATAAATCTGTTGCTTTATTGTAAGGAAACAGTTCGCAAAATTATGATAAATTACAACACTAAAAACGGTATATATATATATATATATATATATATATCATACTGTTTTTATTAATAGTAACGAAAGAAGATTCCGCAAAGCGTCTTTGTAAAATGTTCCGATTTTTGTCTATTAGTTATTAAATTTTAGATTTACCAATGATTACATAGAATATCATGTCACAACATTTGGAAAATTATATATCAAATTAATATTATATAATCTTGCTACTTATTCGTGTAAATAAAAATGTATCGAAACGATTATATAAAAAATTGTGAGTATTGTGGAATTTGCTCATAGTTTCTATTATATATATATATATATATATATATAATATATATATATAATATATATATATAATATATATATATATATATATATATATATATAATATAATATATATATATATATATATATACATATATATCTATTATAATCGTCGCAAATCCGTTTCCTATTTAATCGATCCATATCTCTGATCCCGATCAGTTGATAATAATTTGCAGTTGCACGAAACTGTTCGTTATTAGTGCACTATGGCACGATATCGGTCGTGATTTCACGACATGCGATGCTCCAAAGTAAATTAACGGAGAGACAATGTTAATTTTTGAATCCGATATCGATTTGAAATTAAAGATAATGATATATATATATATATATATATATATATATATATATATATATATATATATATACACTTAGTCATTAAATAAAATTTGTAACAATATAAATATTTCAAATATTTCATTACGGTTCGGGAAGTTCCAGCAATTTGCCTCATGGCACGATGCCATACACCACTAGTTATTATGTTTTAATACTCAAGTTGGATATTAATGCATACTTTGAACAAAAAAAAATTAAAATAGGTTTCATAGTTTTGGAGTTCATGTAGGGCAAACCTTGAAACACGTACTTTATATATATATATATATATATATATATATATATTTTATAGTCCGGTAATCATGAAGGGCGAATCCCCCCAATTGCCCTTTATGTCTGATCCAAAATTTTATGCATATTTTGTGGCCACATTTTACGGTCAATTTTATATTCCAACTGGAAAATTATATGATGATGTCTACATATGGGTACATGGGTTTTTGGGTACTCATCATCACACAATAAAGGGCACAATAAATATTTTTCGTTCGAATAACTCATACACTAAGAATCTATGAAAAAATAAGAATTTTTTGAACTATTGAAAATTGTTATATACTCAAGATTTTTGAAGAAAAACTTCCTTAGGCGCGACTAGGGTGTAAATCCGTACAAATGCAAAGGAAGTGCGTTACATTTCTATAAGGGTCGATTGTGATTAGTCGTCGTGTATGTGAATAGAGATCAGTCGTTGTATGCGTACCGGCATCAATATTGTATGCGTACCGATATCAACGAGGAATTCGTCATAGATAAATAAACATTTTAAAGTTACATCGTAGTACAAATCTTGATTTAATGAAAAATG